CTTTTCAACAGTTAGCCCTGCCAAGTGATACACTGTACAAGTAGAGAAAAGTGTACAGTCAAAGAAAAATGCTGGAATGAAATAACATTTCCCATGCCAGTCCAGCTACCAAACAAAATGGGGTTCTAAGCCCTCTAGCAGAAATTTTTGTTACAGATGTGTGAATTCCATGAATCTTTTTAAGGGTAACCTAACGGCAGGCTGAAAGCCATATTTCCATTCCTCCATGAAAATGTCCTTTATTACCCTTTTTCTCCAATATGACATGGGAATCTCAGTATGCTGTTACTGAAAGCACAAACAATGCTAGGATTGTCATTATGCAAACTATATTCCTAAGTTTCTCCTCCAAGAAGCTGAAGGTAAATCCTTCCCTAGTTTTTCCTCCTCTTTCTATAGATGGCCAAACAAGCAATCCATTGCCACCAGATTTTGGAAAAAAAGAAAAAGAACTGGAGCTTTCTGGAAACTGGAGCTCTCTGAATTACAATCCAGAATCTTTACTCTGATCCAGCAAGTCCATTTTATTCTGCAGTTGTTCAGGATTCCCAGCAAAGTCAGCAGGACCTCATTATACAGCAGAATGGCAAAGTCAAGCTCATATTTAATACCTGTTGTCTTTGTGTTTACAGACTCAGTGCAGTGATAGAAAAGTTTAATGCTCCACCTGGGAGCCCATCACCCTGCCTGCTCTGACATCCAGAGCCAGACATGGGTGCAATTCTTGCCACAGCAACAGGGAGGGCTGTGCATACCTTGGGCCAGAGTTTGACATCGGGTTCATCTCAATCTGGAAATGCCTTTCAGATTTTACCTGAGTTTGCACTGAAGCTTATAACCCTTATTTTACCTTAATCATAGTGAAAGAACCCAGCCATATGAAATACTCAACTCTGGCAATATCAATAATTTACTCTGTACCTCATGTAAACAATGCTGCCATTTGCAGCATGAACTTCAACAAACCCAAAATCCACTTCCTCCTCTTCCCCAAAACAGGGACAATATCAGCACAATGAGACATCTGGAGCTAAACCATCTCCAACAACTTGTACAGGAACTGTACTTCAATTTTAAGAAGTAGAACACTTCCCACAAACAAGTTTTGCTGGTGATCACCACAGGCAAAGTACAGTCAGTGATTTCATTTCAGGTATACTACCCAAAAAAACCCCAAAAAACCCCAAACCAGTAATAACACAGGCTGGGAAAGTCTCCCTGAAACTGATGCTGATTTTCTGCATAGATAGTAAATTATGGTAAAGAAATGAGGCAGCACACAAGTGAATGGCATCATGTCTTTCAGGAAGGCATATTTTTATTACTGTGCTACAGGATAGAATGTCTGAATTGATCATGGTCAAAAATATAGTGGCCCACACATGTTCATTGTTAAGGACCTGGCTTGCCACCTAACACTTATGTCAGTAAGGAGGAACAAGAAAAAATGAACTTCCAATGGAGGTTAAAGATTTGTTTTGTTTTTTTTTTATCCTGATCTATTAATTAATAAAAGACAACTTTCTAGAATTAAAAGACTCTTAACAACTCTTTAAGGACATAAAGAGCAAGAAACACATGCAGCAGAGCAACTCTGGTGTGCTATTAAGGCCAATGCTGGCTCTTATGATGGCTCTTTTATTTCCATATAAATGCTTGTTGCTTGACAATTTAGATAAAAATGTTACTGCTGCTCTGCATGTGCTGTAGACTGAAGGTGTAAAACCACTGGACTAACTAATGGAGTCTTCACACATCATATCTTGTTCAAGAAGAGGTAACCCATTCTCAAATGTGATGACAATTAATCAAAACCACAGCATCTGAGGGATGTACTTGTGACAGAAGTCTAAGCTGTCTTTCTGAGTTGGATGCCAAATTAAAAACTGATTGAAGCTATTGCCTTCCTGTAATGAAAATGGTGGATCTACAGTACTTATTTGAAGACACTGAAAAATATTAAAACTATGCTAAATTCTATATTTCTCTAACCCACCAACATAAAGAAAGCATCAATGACTAACCAGGGATCCTTGATTAGGATGTAACTTTAAATCCAGCTGCACATAAAAGTCCACTTCATAAATTTCCCTCAAAAGTTGAGCTTTTCATTCAGTTCTTTCTTGTCTTCATTTGTAACTTACAGAAGCATTGTCACAAATGCTACTGTAGCCATCTACAATGAAAAGTGATAAATAGGGGCACTGGGAGATAACATTCACTCCTGCTATGTTCCTAACAGGTGTAGATGGGTTTTTTTTGTTTGTTTGTTTTACTGTTTCATCATTAACATGTGCAGTTAAATTGAAAGGCAATTTTAGGGTCTTTTGTATTCAGTGTACACGAAATCAAAGGTATACATTATTGAATTATGAATTAGTTGTGCCTAAACAAATCTTAGGGGAGGGGATAAAGGAGGAAGGAGTGTAAATACATATGTAAAAATAACCTCCCTGCTTGAACTGCCTATTTAAATTTACACTGGTGTTTCCATGAAAGTGAGGGCATGAAACCACCAAAGAGCTCTACCCTGAGCCCATCTGTGGTCTCAGGGGTCCTCACTGCTCCTTCTCTATACCCTCAAGGACATAGAGCTCATTTACAAGCCAGAACCTAAGGAGCAACTACTAATTATAGCAAGTCTGCAAAGTTACTCGATGGGTTTGTGACCTGGTCACGAGCTAAGACCTCCAAACTCATTTCACTTGTGACCTGAGAAGGATTTCAGTGCAGACCTCTGGAGGTGGCAGCCTGGAGCACGAGGACACCACACCACCAGCCAAGCTCTTAATTATGAGCTCTTGTTGCACAGGATGTTGAAAACAGTAAAAGAAATCTAGAGTTTTGCCTAAAAATAGGGTGCTTCCTGCCAGGTCAAATTTCCTGTTTAAAGAATTTAGGTATTTTATGTTTAATTATTTCATGGTATATCGATTTATTTACAAGATTATGAGAATGGCAAGTCATAAATATACAAGAATTTTTTACTAGTTAGTTTGGATTATACATAAATATGCTGTGCAAGCGTAGCAAAAACCATTTTCCCCAAGCTGAATCAGAATGTTCAAACTGAATTTTCAAATGTGTCTCTCTGCCTTATCTAAATTCCAACATGACATATAATAAATAGCTTCTCATTTACCACGATCATAAAAATTTAAACAGCCTTGAAACAGTTGCTGCAATATAGGGGGAAATGATCAAATCTATGTTCCAAATACCCACTTAGAACAGTAAAACTATTTTGATATTTAAGAAACAGCACATAAAGATGCATTGTTGCAGGAAAGGCTTTTACCTTATTTTTAAAAAACCAAAAAAACAAAAAACAACAAGGTTCTACTCAATATAGTAGTATTAGAGTCAACAATTTGCTGTTTTACACTGCACAACAAGGACTAACAGCCCTTACACATCATGTAGTGTCAGATTTGCTTTAAAAAAGAAACTATCTGATTTGATTCTATACAGTGATTAAACATCTTTGTGCTCTGCTGAGTAGGGCATTCTCTCCCCTCCCCCCTCCAAAAACGGCATCAAAGCAATCAAAATGGTAATGTTCGGCATGAATGGGGCCCCATCCCCCACCGGCAAACTCCGCAGACTTTTCTCCATGTTAGGAGGAACCAACACCCCTTCCTCACAAAATGGAAGCTTCCACTACCAAACTGAGAGTGCTGACCAATTCTCATTACAATAAAACTGGGAGAAAAAGGGGTGGCGTGCAGCCGTGGCCCGCAGGCAGGCAGCACGCAGGCACTTGGCAACTTTAAGCACAACTCCAGCAAAGCAAAACAGAACACAATAAAAAAAAAAAATAGGAAAGGAAAGAAAGCCAAACAAACAAAAACAAAACAAAACAAACAAAAAAGAGGGACGGGGGAGCAGCACACGTGTCGCCTTTCGCCGGGAGGGTCGGAGGGAGGCAGGGAGGGAAGGAAGGGGCGGCTGTGGGCGCTGTCCCCGGGCGCGGTGCTGAACGCAGAGGCCGCGCTCGGCCCGGCACGGAGCGGGGAGCCGAGCAGCCCAAAGGCCACCCGCAAAGTTGGACACGGGGGAGGCTCGGGCCGGCAGCTCTCCCGCTGGTTTCCCAAGTGCCTTTCCCAAGTGCCTTTCCCGCCTGGAAGTGCCGGGAGAAGGGCCGGGAAGCCGTGAGGGCAGCGGCGCTGTCCGCGGTGCTGAGCCCCCCTGAGCCCCCGCCGCTGAACTTTCCTTCCGGGCCCCGCTGGGCCCAGGGGTCACCGGCACAAAAACAGCCACGAGAAACTTTGGGAAGGGCGGGAAGGGGAGGAGGCAGAGAAAAAGGTTCCTGGGTTGTTTTGTTTCTCTCCCCCGTTTTTAGTTTGTTTTTTTTTTTCCTCCCCCCTGTCCCTGGCTGCTGAAGCGGGTTAATCTGGTTTTATTAGTATTTTTGGAAGGGGTAGGAAAAAAGTGAAAGTGCCTAAGTGAACTCGAATCAAAAGGCAACACGTCAGATCAGACCAAGGGAAGAGAAAGGCAAGTGGGGAGGGGAAATAAAAAAAAAAAAAAAAAAAAAGAAAGAAAGAAAAAGAAGAAAACAAATAAAGTGATCAATAAAAATCAGTTTTGTAATTAAACCCAGAAATGGCTCCAAACGGGGCTCCAGCCTCCTCCTTCCCAACTCTTGCTCTGCACATTACACAGAAGTGCACAAAGTAGCCCAAGACAGGAGAATTTTCCATATTCCTAAAACATGTCGACCAACTCAAAATGGACGCCTCTTTTTTTTTCTTACGTTTTAACTACTGCTTATCTTTTTGCTACTAGTACTGAAATAATTCTTTCCCCCAGCAAGACATCAGAGAATCCGACCTCATTATCAAAACATGCATTTTCTGACTCTATGAAAAAGAAAATGGATGTTATATCCCCTGCCGCCAGTATTTTTCAGCTAACGCAGACACTTTTCGGATGTTTAGATAGTGCATCATAAAAACAAGAAGAAAAACCAAGCACAACTGAATCGATCTGTTCCTTACTTGTTTCTCATTAAGAGCTGCTATTCTTGATTGCCTTTCATGGATTTGTTTCTTAAGATCCCCGTTCTGCAAAAACGGCAACAAGACGCATATTAAAGGCAAAGTGCAAACTAACCCCGTGATGAATAAACTTGCGAGCTAGAAATTGTTCAAAGGCAAAAACCATTCCACCGAAGCCGTACAGAAGCATGCACACACAAAACACCCTCCTTAGCAAGAAAGCTCAGTGCAGACTACAAAATGAGATCTCTTACTGATAAAGTTTCTCATCCTGCTGTCCCAGCACAACTGCGCTTATTACGGCAGGGATAAAATACTGAAGAAGAGAAAAAAAAAAAAAAGGATCTGCATTTACCTGTGGATCTTGCTTCATCTGTGCAACTAGTTTCTATTAAAAAAAAATCGCCCCGCAAAAAAGGAGGAATTAGAAACTGTTTCAAGTTTAATGGATTTTTTTAAATGTATGTATGTGTGTGGACGGGGGAGGGAGGGGGGTAAGGAACAAAGAGGCAAGTAAACACTGCGAGTCAGTTTCAAGCAAAGCTCATAAATATTCAAGTCTCGTCCTAATCTCTCCAACACACACACACACACACACACACACACACACGCACTCTCACACTCACGCACACTCACACGACTGCAGCGTCGACTCCGCGTCTCCACGACACCCACCCACACAAAAAACTCAGCCAAACAAGCCGCCAAAGTACTTTGTGGGAGTGCTCGCCATTGCGGCGGGGAGCCGGGGGTCCCTCCCCGCCGCGCCCCCCGCGCCCCCTCCCCGGGCCGCTGCGGCACCGAGGCTCGCTCCGAACATGCAACACCGGAGCTGCGAGCCCGAGCAAGGCACGGCACGGCCCGGCACGGCCGGTGCCTCAGCATTGCATTCTGTTACCTGCTGACATGGGATTTCCACTTTTAACGCCTCCTGCAAGCTGTGTAGCTCCATCCCTGCAACTTGCCAGGCACTTTCCTGCCACTTTCAGATCCGAGTGAAGTTTTTTTTTTTTGTTTGTTTGGTTTGGTTTTTGGTTTGGTTTTGTTTGGCCTTTTTTTCCCCCTGCCTTTCTTTTCTTTTTCTTTCTTTTTTTCTTTTTGGCTTTTTTGTTTTTGTTTTTTTCTCTCTCGCTTTTTGCAACAGACCCGCCAGCCAGCCACCCCTCCCTTCGCGGGAAAATGGAAGAAAATAATTTTTTTAAGTAACCAAAAAAAAAAAAAAAAAAAAAAAAAAAAAGAAAGACGGGAAAAAATAAAGTAAAATAAAAATTTAAAAAGAAAAGGAGTGGCGGCACCAAGAACAACAATACGTGAGGGAGAGCGGCAGGACAGCGGGCAGACACAAGTACTCGGCGTGCACGGCAAGTTGTTCGCCTCTTTGCTGGGGACACGGACTCATCACTCACTTTCCGCCGATCTGGGGGGGCCCCTCCCCGCGCGCCCCCGCCCGCGGGCCCCCCCCGTTCGCCCCGGGCCGCCCCCGCCCCGCCCCGCGCTCGCCCCGCCGCCCCCCGGGGGCCCCCGCGGGCCGCTCCGGCGGGGCCGGGCCCGCAGCCACGGCCGGCCAGGGACTATATTTCCTGGCAGAGCGCGCGCGCGCGCGCCGGGATCCGCCGCGCGGGGGGGGCAGAAAGTTGTGAAACGGCCTCGGCGCGCGCGCGCGGGTGCCCGGATGGAGCGGGGGGGGTGTGGGGGGGGGGGGGGAGAGGCGGGGGGGGGTGGGGGGTGCGGGGGTCTCGCGGCCCCGCGCGTGCGCGGAACGGCTCCTGCGGCCACCGGGGCCGCCACAACAAAGTGGGGAGGGAGGGGCGGGGAGAGATAGCGGGGTAGGGTCTGTAGATAAGGATAGGAGATAGTGATAGGGATAGGAGAGAGGGATAGGGATGGGGAAAGGAATAGGGAGAAGGAGAGAGAGAGAGAGGGCAGAGGATAGAGACAAGGGTAGGGATAGAGATGGTTGAGAGCAGTAGGGGACAGGGCCAGAGATAGGGATAGAGACAAGAATAGGGACAGGGGATACAGAGAGGGATAGGGGATAGGGATAGAGATAGGGACAGAGACAAGAACAGGGATAGGGGATACACAGAGCTATAGGGGATAAGGATAGAGATAGGGATAGAGACAAGAATAAGGACAGGGGATACAGAGAAGGATAGGGGATAGGAAGACAAGGGTAGGGATAGGGATGGTTGAGAGCGATAGGAAACAGGGCCAGAGATAGGGATAGAGACAAGAATAGGGACAGGGGATACAGAGAGGGATAGGGGATAAAAATAGGGACAGGGATAGGGACATGGACAGATACAGGGATTGGGATGGGGACAGGTACAGAAATAGGGACAGGGATAGGGACAGGCAGGCACTAGTACAGGGATAATGATAGGAATAGGGGAAGGGACAAATACACAGGGATTGGGATGGGGATAGGGACAGGTACAGAAATAAGCACAGGGATAATGATAGGAACAGGGGAAGGGAAAGGGACAGGGGAAAAGAAAAGGACAGAGGAAAGGACGGGAGCATGGACAGGGGATTGGGTTTCCTTTTCTTTCCCTTTTCCGCCCACCTCGAGCATGTCCACTGGGGCCTGCGCTGGGGTTGTAGTAGCTCAAGGGGGGAGGGATGGGAGTGTGGGACATTTGGACGTAGGACCCGCTGAAATGAACCTGCTTCTGAGGGATGGTGACACAGATCCTTTCACTCTATTTAGTTAATAAATAACAGCAGTGATACTTTAAACTGGTTGACTCAAGAAGCGTTGATGCTCCAGTTCAGCCAATTCAAGCCATGGTTGCATGCATTAGTGAGGGATCCAAGTGCCACCAGGTCACCCTGCACCACAGATGTGCTCCAGAGCAGGTGTGGACAGAAACACATCACCTTGATGTCACATGAATATGTGACAAGGCTCCAGGTCCTACAGACAGACCCCACCTGATGCAGCATCAAGCCAGCTGCCAACTTTTTAAAAATAGATTCAAACCAGCAGCATGAATGTACATTAAGTCAGTGTTTGACCATGCAGCTGCAGCATTTTCCATGCAGTAATGGGAGCTGTGCAGTTAGATTTACTGTTGTCTTGATGCATGGCCAGAGTATGGTTGAAAACCAAAAACAATGCTCAGAATAATTTTATTGATGACAGTCAACATTTAGGGCACCTCTTAGCAAGCACCTTTTAGCCAATGGAGTGCCTGGGACCAGAATTTGGGTGTATACATACTCCACTCCTGCACTGATTGAACACCGATATTTTATTCAACCTGCACTGAAACACAAAGCTGAAACTCAGCCTAAATCATTAGTCAGTATTTAAAACATCTGTGTGCTGCTGTTGTGCCTGGATGCCAATTTTAATAACTAAGTTAATCTCAAAACTATTTAAAGACACCAATATGTACCAAAACCAACTTACATCAACTATAACCAAAACTGGTTTGAGATATAATGTGTTGTGAGTCCAAAACCATGTACCCAATTCCCATTAAACTTCTCAAACATATTCTGTTCAAGCATAGCACAACTTTTTACACTAAATTAATTTGAAGATTCATGGTGAAATATTCTTAGCCTGCCAAAATTATGAGTAAAGTCTAAACAGAAATTTTCTATTAACCTTGCAATGAAATAAAGAAGAGCCTTACTTTAAAGGCTCTTCCAAAAAAAGGCTTTTAAGAGCTTTTTAAGGCTCTTCTTTATTATTTTTATTTTAAAATCTAAATATTTTGGAAGAGCCCTATTTTAAAATCTAAATTCTTTCTACTCACATTTGTAAAGACAATTCAGTCAATCCAGCAGATACTGATACGTATGAAAATCTTTCAATATTGAAGCAACATTACTTCTCAATGTGTTCCATACAAAGGTATTTTTTAGTGTTATACACAACAAAAGCAGGGCTTTGCCAAGTAATTTTGTAAATTGTGAAGGTTACCTTTGTAACCTCTGGTTATAGCAGAGCAAAGCTTCTTTGAGTTCTGCCATTGACTAAAGCTGATTAAATAGTAAAGAATGATTTCTTTATGTGTTAGTAGTTAAGTAATTGACATTATGATGGTTGATTTATTTTACTGCACATTCCATTGGTAGAGCAAAGAGCCTTTTTCTTACCATTATAAAATAGTCACTTGCTGACCACAACAAAACTAGTGATTCCTGCAAGCCAGACTTCCTGCAAAGATGTCTATGGGTTCATGAAGTAGAAATTTGATTTTAACTGGCAAGGGGTGAGGATTATCATGTTATCCTCCACACAGCACTGTGATGTCAACAGAAGAAGTTTGGAAATTTGTTTAAGCTGCCTACCATTCAAATATCAGTTTATACATCTTCAATGCTACTCTGATGGGCCACAAATTTTAATATAAATATAAATTATCTGTTATCAATTATAAATTATAACCCATAATGAAGTGCTTTGCTTTTCATTTATTGATGCTGCAAATATTGTTTTCTAGTGAAGTTATGTAAAATACATTAATCTGACAAATACATTTATGTGATAACATTATGCAATCACCTAGGAAAATGTTAACAGCTTTATGCAATTTACTTGAGGATTATGATGGCAAAAATCATCCTGCTTGCAAGAGCTCAGGGGACTTCCCTTCCATCTATTCCTCTGCATAAGGAACAGCTACATTTTAGCTGGGAAATGCAAAGTGAATTGGGAGGTGAGTAGGATGCCTGGCAGTGTTGCAGGTGGGTTTGCTTAAGCATAGAAATTTATGGTCAGTGCTAAACACAAAAAGATCATTTTGAATGAAATGTCATATGTAATGTGATTAAACACATTTTTCATCATCTCCTTAAAAGAATATTCTTGCTCTTATAACCTGTGGGATTCCAGAGGTTGTACAGAAGGAACTGCATTCCTTCTTTCTCCTAGAGTGGTGGAGAGACACCATTCAGAGCCTCTAAAGGGACTTTTACAAACAAAACTATCTGCAGTGCTGGAGAAAAGATGTGTGTTCTACAGCAAAATATAAACATAGCTTTTTTTGTTGCCAGAAGGTATTTTAGTTTCTGTATTACATTGTTTGGATGAGAACAAAGAGGCCAATTGTTACAGTCATAGTTTCTAGAAAAGTCCCTTTGCCCAGGATTCTTCTCCTGGGAAGCTTAGAAACCTCAGAGAAAAAAAGAAAACAATAATTACCTCATTTGCTTCTCCTGTGTTTTGCTGCTTTGGAATGTGGTTGGAGATTGTTTACCCACAGGTGATTGTTTCATTGGTTTCATGTGAATTTTTTTCACTCATTGGCCAATCAGGGTCAAGCTCTGTCGAGGCTCTGGAAAGAGTCAAGAGTTTTCATTATTATCTTTTTAGCCTTCTGTAAGTATCCTTTCTGTATTCTTTAGTATAGATTAGTTTAGTATTCTTTAATATAATATAGTATCATAAAATAATAAATTAACCTTCTGAGAACATGGAGTCAGATTCATCATTCCTTCCTGCCATGGGGCACCCCAAAAATACAATAGCCAATTTTACAAGCACTCATGAATAGTTTAATGCATGTGTATCACTTTTACAGTCCTTGGTAATAAAGTTACTTATGTGCTCATACATTTCTAAATCAGTACCTTTATCTGCTAAAAGTTATTGCAGAAATGCATTGACAGATTGACCTGTCTGATGAGATTACCTAAAAAGGCACAGTACAGTATCAATAGAAGACAAATAAATAACACTTGTAACAATATTCCCTGCATACAGAGACTCAGGACCAATTGTTGTATCAAGAACACAAGACACACAAATTTTTTTTCTTGCCATGCATCTAATTTCAGATAGCCAGGAATCAGATACAGGAATCCAACATCTGGGAGTCAAATCTCACATTTCAAGTCCCCACAAGAGCTGATGATGTTCCTCCCTTATG